CGTTTCTGGCACCTGGTGGACATGCTGTCAAGGCTGGTGATTTGAAAGGTAGGAGGGGGATGGGGAGAGGTGGCACTTCCCCAGCAGTCTCCGATTGACCCCTTTGATCAGCCACCTCTCTGGTTGGGGTTCAGCTCCTCAGAGCCAGACCTCCTGAGCCCTCAGCACCGCCTCTGTCACTCAGCCCTTTCCTCAGGATTTGCCCTAGAGAGCATCGCCCCCAGGGGTCTAGCACCTGGCCAGCACCAGAGAGGAACAGGCCAAGGCAGGCTAGGGATGGGGCTGTCAGCAGCCAGCGCTGGTGGCCCTCTCTCTGTGGGTGGCAACCAGCAATGGGTCAGCGGCAGGTCGCGGCCTCGCGCGCTTAATCTGTTAGGGGTCCACAGAGCCGGCCACTCAGGTGTTCCCCTCCCTGCAGATTCCCAGCCCCTCCCTCCTTCGTCAGGGTCTCTTTCCGGATCAGCCTGCAAGCCACAGCTGGCCGGCATGCTGCAGTCACCTGGCCTTGACCCCGGGACTCTGCGGACTTTCCCGGGTTCGGGCTTCCCCTTGGCAGTGGCGAGCCCCCAACTCAGAGGCGCAGAACCTGAACGAGAAGAGCCCGCTCCACAGCCTCTCCTGGGCCACGAACCCCCGGGGGTGGGGAGCCTACCCCAAGTCTGGCTGTGCTGGAGAGCTAGGGGAGGGGTCCCCGGGGTGGAAAGTCCCAGGCCAGGCGGAGTCGCCCCGGAGCCCGGTTCCCCGGGTGGAGGAAATGAGCTCTGCGCCCCACGCGCTAGGACAAACCCTCGCCCTGGGCCGGGCCTAAAACCCCCTGCCCTCGGGCCAGCGGTCCCTATGCGGGCGGCTCCGCTGGGCGGCGCCCAAGCGCCGGTGGCCCCACCCCGCGGCCGGGGGCAGGAGGGCGGGACGCTGGCTTGGAGCCCGGGACCCGCGGCTCCCGGAGTCGTTGCGAGTTGTCTCTGGCGTGCTTGCCAGCTCGGGGTGGAGCCGAGGGTGCACGGTCCCGGGGCGCGGAGGGGCCCTCCCCGCCCCGAAAGCCTCGCGGCTCCGCCCCGCCGGGCTCTCGTCCCGCCTCCC